ACCGAGAGCTGCTGGAGTCACAAACTTACGGCATGGAAGTGAACTGGCACACCCCGCAGGAAAGCTCAACCATTAATGTTTAAATGGGGTATGTTACAGTTCCACTGACTGCTTTGGGCAGGGCATTTCCATGCACCGGTTCCTCCCACGCCCGTGGGTTCTCGCTCCCAGCCCAAGCGTTTCGGGGCAGCGCCGTTGTGGTCACACTGTGGTGACCGGTGTGTCCGGTACCCAGCGGATCGGGACCTTCAGCATCCGCTCCTCCTTCTGAAGGGGCCAGAACGGGCAGGGGCTCAGTGATGGGCAGCCCCCCCTTGCCCTCCGAGACCATCTCAGTCGCACCCCAGGGTCTGCCATCCCCAGGGGTCACAGCCCCATCCCTTTAATGAGAAGGATGCGTCTTTTATCGGTTAAAATTGGCAGGTCATTTCCTCTCCTATTTACTCTGTTATTTTTGCTCACACGTATGTTGCAATATGCAAGGTGAGGCTCAAAACTGTCAAGCTCTTTAATAGAACCGTTACTGTATTTTTGGAGAACGTAGTCGTTTTGATTTACTGTTCCTTAGAAGACAGGAAATGGAGCTACTTGATTTCATATTTTAAACAAAGCCGTCCAGAGGTTTAATGAAAAAAATTTCCCTTGGCTTTCGAATTAAAGGGCTATGGTGAAAGATTTAGCTGAGCTATTTTGACTTAGAAAAATAACACACTAGAAGCATTAAAATATTTTGTAAAAATACTTTTTACTACTAGGTTTTTCAGAGAAGAAAATAAGCTTCTCTGGTTTTCTCGGGCTTGGTTGGTAGGGCTAACTGTGAAAGGAAAGGATGTTTCCAAGATTTGAGGCTTGGTTTTTTCCTTCTGTAGAATTTATTTTCCTTTTATATTAAAAGCCTTGAAACGATTGCCGTGCAAAAGACAAATCCCGTGCTTCTAAGCGAGGTAATTTGGTGTGAGTAATAACAGAAGCCTTTGCCATTAATAAAATGCGAGAAACGTTAAACAGAAAGACGGAGGGTCTGATTCTGCTCCGTCCAGCAGCAGCGTGAGGAAAGGGCACTTCTCCTTGGGTGGCAAATGTCAGTGGAAGGACAGAAGTGAGAGATATGGGCATCAGGAGAAAATTCAAGTTTTAATAGGAAAATCCTGGGTGTGGAGCAGAATGAGCTCGGAGTGTTTGGGGCAGCGTAAAGCTGAACACGCTGGAACTGCAAAACAAAGCGCTTTCGACCTGGATGTTCAAGTCAAGGTTTCTGCGTGTTCCGTTTGGTTTGGTTTGAGGTTGTTTTTCATTTGCAGAGCAGCGGATCTGGGACGGTGCTTGGGCATCATGCAAAGGAGGCTGATGGTCTCAATTTCCACCCAGTTTCATCTTAGTAAATAAGGGGAGAAGTAAACGTGCCGCTAGCTTGAGAGGACCGCAGGGTAGGATGAAATATGGACACAATTTTAAGTCAATGGGGTTTTTTTTGTGATCTAATGAGTTTTTCACCAGGATTTCACTAGTAATTGCTTGGCTAAAATAATACCTGATCTGCTTCTTCCGTGTGTCCTTTCCCAATGAATTGCTCCTTTTAGGTGGAACCTGTTCCACCATCAAAACGGTGTCAGGTCTGGGGGACAGGAGAAAGGCTTCCCACGTCAGGGGCTGATATTGGTGGCTGTCAGTGGGATTTCAGCGGTTTGTCAGTGCAGGCATGGGGTGCAGTCCGCCTTCGCTCAACCCTTTGGTAATCCCCTGAATCTGCAGGAGCCTCCTCAGCCGCCCTGGTCCTGGGGTTACGTTCTGGCTGCGGGTTTTGGGGGATTTTGAGAGCAGGACGCTGCACTGAGGTTTATTTGTAAACTTCTCTCTGGCTGACGATGGGGAATTTGATACGTTATCAGCTGAGATACTGGGATTGAAAAGGGGAGAGCAAGGCAGCCAGAAAGAGATTACAATTTAATAAATAGCAGAGATACGGTTAGCTGCTATCAGTGTAAGTCTAATGCCATTAGCTCGCGTGCAGTTGGTAGCCATGTACATCAGGCGAAGCATCCAAAGGCTCCCGGGGAGCCCAGCTCCCATTTCACGCAGTTCGCAGAAGAATTTTCCAAGGTGTAAAAATACTCAGGACTCCATTGAGCCTTGAGAAGATGAAGCTACTTTGATACGTCTGCTGTCTGCCGCTGCCATGGCAAGAAGAACAGGAAGGTCTGTGACCATGGGGCTTGTTTTTCCTTGAAGCAGCTTTGTTTTACATCAAAGGGGGACAGAGCCAGGGTTTATGGTCGGCAAGGACACCCCTGTTCCAGCACGGTCCCATTTTCCACTCCCACGCCCCGTGTAAGCTCGGCCGCACTTCAGTGTGTTCAGCTCTACGTGGAACCCGTTCCGTCAGTGTCTGTATTGAAATACGGAGGAATTTGGGGGCTCCCCTGCAACACCCAGCAGATGATGACGCACGGACCCCCTGTGCCCCCGCCGCCCATCACACGGGCAGGGTGAGCCCCCGCGGGTGCGGTGGCGGCTGGTGAATCACAGCTGGATGCCTGGACGTGAATCATGTCGCCAGATGTGTTCTCCTAACATGGAGGAGGAGTGAAAAGGGAGGAAAGATAAAACTACAGCTTCGCCAGCCGTACGGTGTTTTTTTTACAAGAAAACTTTCTGTGCCGTTAATCCCTCTAACCTGCATTTACATTAACACTTGCAACCTCACACGTTGCTGCTGCTAAGAAGTTTTGGCAGCTCTTGGCCCTGATTGCGGAGGTAACGCTGCACTTGTCTCCTTTGCTCTCACTCAAGGATCTCCGGAGCCAGCGCCCAGCACTCTATGAAGTTTCTCCCTGTACACGTATGCAGGCATCTTGGCAGAGCTTCAAAAGCCATTTGCCTTATTATTCATATGTCTGCTTATAGGAGCAGAAACGCTCCCATTTCTCACTTTCGGAATGAGAGCAGATACTAGTAAAGAAGAAATTTTTCATCAGCGTTTCTGGCACAACCCTGCAAACCCATGGGAGCTCTCGGCATCTCCCCGCTGCCAGCCTGGGGTTTGGGATGCAGATGGGAAAGTCCCCCAGCCGCTCTCCAGCCCTATGGAAAACAACTGAAGCGCTGGAGTCTCGGAGTATTTGCAGAGTGGGGGGTCTCAGGGTCACATGAAACCACAGAAGGGTGACTTGAAAAAAAAAAGAAGCTTCAAAAAAAAGACCAAATTTTGCTTTTCCTCCTGCAGTTAGGATAACTGACAACATGGAAATGTTGCAGAGGCTTAAACATCATCAGAATCGCTTTGCCTCCTCGCTGCATTTTCTCAAACAAGCTTCAAGAACCCTTGCTCTAAAACAAATTAGTGGACTGGAGTAACCTTATAAATCCAAAGACCCATTAAAAAGTTGAAATATTTGGTCGTTCCTCCTCTCAGTTTAAACTGGGATTCATCCAGAGTTCAAGTGCATGTATCACATAAGAGCCCCAGTCCCGGTTTGGAGAGGTCCATTTGAGCGTTGATGGTTTTCTAGTGCCAGGAATCTACTCTGCAGCCAGGCAAAGAGATAAATCAAAGCTGTGCGCGCCGATGAAATTCAGGAGCCAGAAGTCACCATTGCAGCCCATATAAATCCCCGAATGCCAGCCCCGGTGCTTTTTGTCCGTGCCATTAGAGTTCAAAATTATCTGCCCCTCTTTGCTGATGTATGGATTAACCGGCCGCCCGAGTGTTTACTAACGGTTATCACCCGGTACTTTGGCCGTTATCAGAGGAAGGGACGCCTGCCGCGGGGCTTGGTCTCTCACCCTTTCTATTACCACCTGTCAGTGGCAGGGAGTGTGCTGTGAAGCTGTACAGTCACAGACTACAAGTGTAGATAGTTTCTGACGGCTGATCAAAGGGGAAAACCAAAGGCCTGATAACAAGGACGTGTTTCATGTACTTTTAACTTTGAGAAACATTGGCATTTGCATTTTTTCCCCTCGGTAGGCTGGCAGAAACCAGGCACAATAAACGCTGCGTATTCAGTTACCTAATAGTTGAGTAAATGTTATGTGCTTGAAGCAACAAAGCATAACTGTAATCTTGTTCCAAGTGGGAATGATTTAAGTAAGCCTTCACAGAAGACTTGCTGTATAATAAAGCAGAATAATTTTAATTTGTACTTTGAAGTGATCTTGAATTCAGAATCTAATCTTGGCATTCAGCAGAACATCCTACCCCGTTGTGAATGAGGTAATAACTGCAAGTTAAGGAATTGCTTTCAGGATCTTTTGTAGGTACGTGCGCCCCGTCACAATAGCCAGCGTCTTCGGCAAAGCCCTGCTGATGAAAGAGTCTCTGTTAGCTCACGTTTGACCTCAAATTTCACAGTGCAGGAACGGAGAAAATCCACAGATCGCCCAGGCTGAAGGGCGGGCTTGCTTTTTTCCTCCAGTAGACATACTTCAAACACAAGGCAGAACACAAGCCGTCCCTTCCTCCTCGCTCCGCCACGCTGCTGCACTTTTCTGCTCAAGGGCGAGCGAGGGATATTGGCTGGAATTTCTGCCCGTTGGCAAAGACGAGATGACTGTTTCCATTGTCCAAGATGAGAAGGGGGAAGAGTGCCCAACAGCAGCCCAGTGAAAGGCAAATCCACTTTAAAAACAATTTCTGGTTGTCTAACTTGTACTTAAGAACATATATACAGTTTTTAATGTGACAGTTCCAGCTTCTGTTGTCATTTCCATCAGTGCCATTACGCTGATTTCCTGACTCTCCCTAATGTGAGACCAGAATTGGGTCTGTATTTTTAATTTCACCTTTTTTGCTTCCAGCTGCTTGGTCAAAGCTGTTCAGCACTCAGGGCTCTGGTTGCTCCTGCTGTGCTGTTAACACCAACATTTTAACTAATGTGCTAAAATTAGCTTTTCAGGAACTCAAAGTGCAAGGGTTTCTTTCTTGCCGCTGCAATAAATAAAATATATGGAAGTGGTTTGGTCCCAGGGCCTCCCAAACATCTCCCGTTTGTTTGTTGAAGGTGCCTTCGACCGGAGCGTGACCTTGCTGGAGGTGTGCGGGAGCTGGCCCGAGAACTTCGGTCTCCGTCACATGTCTTCCATGGAGCACACGGAGGAGGGCCTTCGGGAGCGCCTGGCCGATGCGATGTGCGAATCCCCCAGCAGGGACATAGTGGGATCAGGAACAGGTACAAAGAAGAGGTGTGATCAGAGATCACGTACATCTCACCCAATGGTGATTTTTAATTTTTTTGTGTTTTAAGTTCTGCTTTTCCTTTTCTCTGTACGCTACCTCTCTGATTAATTAACTTCTATGGGGATCTCATGTAGTGTGAGATAAGTAATTTATAAAAAGAAAATAATGGTAGATCACATAAACATAGACTGAGAAGCCTAAATAACTTGAGGAAAAACACTCATCCTTGAATCTTCCTTACCCTATAGCTGTGACAAGGGCTCCCCTCCCTCCCCGGCTGACTCAGGAGCATCCGAGTCGCTGTGCAGCTTGCTGCCCTTGCCCACCCTGCTCCAAACAATGTCATAAAGACACACATCCTCATTTTGTGTCCTGAATAGAGCCACTGCGAAGCGCTGGTTCTGTAATCCAAATTAATCCATCTTCATCAGTGTCCATTATATTGATAAATTATATCATCTGGTTAAGTAAATGGAACGGCATGTCAGAGATTATGCTGCTCAGAAGGGGCCCGGTGCTAGGAGATGCTCAGAAATGTTAAAGCACAGTTATTGTGGTTTTATTGTCTCCATTAATTTTGACTTGTTTAAAAAACGCCCTCTAGTAAAAGGACTCGGCCCATCTTTGATCCACGCACCGTTCGTGCTGTGACCAGCAGCTCCTAGCGATGGTGGCTTCTAACATCAGCTGCCAGCTCGCTTGTCACTCTTCTGGCAGCTTGCCCGGGAAGGGAAACGGGGACAAGCTCCAGCAAAAAACGTATGGGAATGCCAACCTGTGGACATCACAGGAAGGCTGTGTGGAGCAGAAACCATCCCTGCCTTTCTACGTAGGTACAAATAGCAATGACCACGCTGCTGAGCGGTGCAGAAGCACTCTTCAGAGCCCAACTTGTCATCTTTCAGACTTTCCTCTGGTTTCCATAGGGAAATGGAAATTTCACTTATTGAAAGATGGAGTCAAGGGTTGGTTTATGATTTGGTGTTAACAGAAGGAGTTGGCTGAACACTAAATATGGGTCTCAGTTACAGATCTGGTGCAAATTCTCACCAGCTTCTTGCCTTGGATGAGGCGCTTCACGTGCCCGTGACTCCAGTGCTCCGTCACTGCAGCGAGGACAGAAATGCCTCGCGTTGCCGGTGCGGAGTTAATCAGCTCGTGTCTGCCAGGGGCTGTGAAGGTAGAAAAACAGGCTGTGAAAGTGGACAAAGGCAGATATTTCATCACTTGTTGACCCATCCTGGGATCAGAGTGAACTTTGGGATGGTATCCACTTCCGATAACAGGTCAGCTCCCTCAGGCTGTGCAGGCGAGGGAAGGACCTCTCTGAAAGCTGAAGCCATCTAGACGTGCTAAGTTAAGGTGACTGACTGCCCCAGAGACTTCACATTATATTATATTGTAAAGCAAGAGCTTTGTCAGAGGCAGTGCTCTCTGTTTTCCTTCCATTTTCACCAAACCCAGCTGATAGCACTGAGTGCCAACTTCTTTGGCATAAGGTTCGGCTTCCAGCACTGCAGGTGTAAAGCCAGAAAGGAACTGTTTGTAGAGATGCCATCACTGAGCTGAAATTCATCCAAAGAGATCTCTCCCTGCTCTTACTCCAGACACATAAATCTTCATAACGAGTGTAAGATAGATGCAATCTCAAAGCAGCAAATGTAAGCAGCAATAGCGAGTAACGTGAGCACTGACCCAACTCCCCCCATCCTGCTGCCCTCCTCTTGCTGTCATTCCGCTCTGTGTTTTCCTGCCTGTCGTGGGATTCTCCCTATCACTAACATACTTTATTCTCAGGATTTGGGCATGCGGTGACTCAGTGCAGCAGAGAAAAACCTGGTGATAAGGCTGTGAACTCCGGTGCCCTTTCCACTTCCATCCCCTAACGCCTCTTGAGCTGTTCTCTTTACCAGATGGCCATAAAAAGTCCTCTCCTGCTCAGGCTATACCTGGAAAACTCCACTGGCCTAGGGAGGCGACTAGCACCGGCTACAGCATGTGTGGCCGCGCTTGCGGCAGCCTGCCAGCCGGCCGTTCGTCAGGCTGCGGGGCACGGTGAAGTGCTGGCATCTGTCTGCTGGTTAATACATGGGGGAAGATAAGTTTGGAGGTACCTTATTGCCCTTGCTTCAAAGAAGAGGTGTCTTTGTTGGCTCGTAACAAGTCGGATACTTTTCACTTCCCCCAGAACCACTTACATCTCACCAAACCTAGGCTGAGCTGAATTATCTTTGAAAAACATTGTTTTCTTCCTTGGATTCTCTGCTATGCGCTCACCTCCTTGGAACGATAGCAGAAAGTTCAGCAGAGAAGGACACCATAAATTTTCCTTGTTGGTAGTTGTTTTATATATTGGTACTGGTTCCAAAGACAGTGTTTATATTTCTGCACTGGGCTCAAAATTATGGAAGTTATAAACATCCCTCTAATAATCCTAAAATGACTTATTCTACCTTCTGCATGCCTTTACGCTCTGCATGCCTGTGCGCTCTGCATGCTTTAACCCCTGTTTGCGCTTCTTGGATTCTCTTCAGTCCTTAAATACGTTTTGCAGAGATTTAATGAAACTTGCAAAATCTTATTTGAACTGAAACGTTAATTAATGAAAATGTCTGACGCTGAATGTGATGACGTGTGCGTGTGCAGTGCTCGGGTGCACTGTGTGGACAGAGAGAAAATGGGCGATGGGGTGGACAGTGAGACTTTATCAAGTGCTCGACTGGTCCTGACATGCACTTAATGGCGAGAGATAAATAGATTCTTTTAATGCCTTAACTGTTAGGACATAGCTGACACGTAGATTTATATAGTACTCAGGGCTGATACGCTGCAGGAGCGGAGGAAACGCTCGCTCGCGGCACACAGAGCGCTTTGGGGAGCAGATGCTCACGGTGTCTGTTTCTGACCTGCCCCATGGCATGGCAGAGCAGGGTCCGTAACGCCGTGCTGCTCCGGTGGTCCTAGCACAGGGAGAAATGATGCAAAGATTGGTTATCCAGGAAACATCCAACTGGAGGATGCTAGAAACACGAGGAAGAAGCTGGTATTGGGGAATTAGATGGCCTGAGGGGTCTTTCCCACCTCGGACTCCGAGTAGTTGCCAAGGGCTGTCGGACAGGGGGTGGGAGAAGAACCGGGTCTGGAAAATGACCCCCCCAAAAAATCTCCTTTCCTCATGACCTAAACGATAACTCCAGTTATCCAGCTAGTTGGCTTGATTGGGAAACCAGCTTTTGTCCTTGTTATCCAATTATCCAGACGACCCATGTCTATCTGAAGTGGAGCCTGCTGTACATAAGCTGTCAGCCTGGATACACATTTGGTTCCAAAGAAGGCGTAAATTGGCAAAGATGCAAAAATATGGTTTTACTGTTTCAGTTTCTGTCAAACTCTCACTGCAAAAAAAAAAAAAAATTGAAGGTCTGCTCACAAAACGTTAGTGGTCAGTGACCTCTTTTGCTTGCAAAGCTTTGTTTTCAAGCAGCCACAGTATTTACATTTGCAGTATAGTTTCTAAGTATGTGCTGGAGCTTCACATTGAATTCTCAAAAAAAAAAAAAAAAACAAAAAAAAAAAAAACCACAAACTAGTATTGTGATTTATGAAACTGTGCTTCCAGGAGACAAATATCTCTGAGAGTATTCCACTCTAACTGGAGACACAGAAATTTCCAGCCCAGGCTAGAAATCTTTCCCCCCAAAAATCCTCTAATCAGTAGAAGCTCTGATTTATGTATTCCTTCAACAAGTACATTTCTCAAGGTTTCCAATACAGTTTGTTTATCTCCAGGCATAATATTGAAAATTAGCCTGTAATAGGGGACCATGCCTTGACAGTCCGAGCAGCAGGATGTTTTCTGATATCTATCTGCAGAAGACGATCTCTGTGGCCATCCCTGTTCCTGTGCCAGGGCAGTTCAGTGTGCTGAAGCCCAGGAGACATTCCCCTGCGCTCCCTGCCTGCCCAGCCGCGATGCTGGTGTACCGCACGGTCTGTGTGTATCCCAGGGACCCAAATTCATTAGGACCCCACTCACGGCCACTTAAGGTATGGGCTGGTCTGAAGGAGAACCAGGGGACATGTCAGTCCTAGAAAGGAGTTCCCAGCTCCAGGCCAGCCGCAGTGAGCATCCAACGGCGCGGCTCTGCATCCGCAGCACCAGGAGGAGAGGGATCCTTAGCCCTGGGAGTTTGTCCCAGCTTCTCCTCCTTCCTTTGACGTGGGTGAAAGGTGTAGCTGGATGTTAAATCTAGGCACAGCTTCAGGCTGGACTTTCACGTGATTTACCACATCCAAACCCATTCTCTACATTTTCTCGGGTTTATTACTATAAAGCACACGGCACAGTGATTTCTTCTTGTCCCTGCCCGTGGCAGGGGGGTTGGAACTTGATGATCTTTAAGGTCCTTTCCAACCCAAAACATTCTGTGATTCTATGATTCTGTGATTCTATGAGACGAACACCGCAGACAGGTTTCCAAGGGAGAATTGTCAATATAGAAAATAAATAAGTGTTCCTCACCGCTCAGGTTATTTTGTCAAGATAGGCAATACTGCAAACTTCTGTAGTGACAAACATGCTGCTGCCACTGTCAGACCCCTGGTTTTTCTGCCAGAAATTACCGCTGGAGTCCGGGCAGCTGTGGAGATCCAGGATGGGGCTTATTGCGTTTGCAGCGTGTGATTCCGGTCCGTGCCCGTCTGCTGCACCTCCTCTGTCACAATTTGTTGGCTGCCTGAGTGTTGTACTTATATCTAATTCATTTAACAAAGCATACCCAAATCCACATTGCTGCAACATTTTGCAAGTGGTGGAACTGTTCTGTGGGTGCACAAGACTAGAATTGCTTTTTGTGGGTGTGTATCCTTTTTTTTTTTTTTTTCAATTCAGCATGAAGTCCAGTACCTTATGATGGCTCAGTTTACACTGCAGTTTATGGAGCAAAACAACTTTTTTTCTCTGTTGATCCTGTCTCAGGAATACAGGTGAACTTGCAGTAAGCGTCTGTATTAAAAATTGCAGAGCACCCCCCCCCCAAATTCTGCATCTCAGAACCAACGCTCTAGGTCTGAACAGGGAAGGATGCAAGTGTGGCACCATCGTGGTCAATACAGCCTGCGAGGTTGGAAGAATTTAAAGCAAGGTGTTTAAACCCCATTATAAAATTTCAGTTTTTTTTTTTTTTTTTAAAAAAGTATGGCTAATTTTTTTTTCCAAAATTCCAAGTCTGTCGGCTACCACCTGCGGAAAGGTGGTAGAGCCGCAGAGTGCCCTGCTCCTGGCCCGCAGAGGAAACCATCTGGATTCCTTCCAAATTTCATTAACAAACTCACAATGCGATGAAGGAAGCTTGTATGTTGAAGCAAACTCTTTAACCTGATTAATGGGATGTAAGTAAGTGAAGCTAATTAGACGTGCTGGTGGAGAGCATGGCAGGATCGGCGCTCGGGGCAGGGGGGATCCTGGTCCCCAGCCGAAGCCGTGTGGTTACACCAGCCTGAGCCTAACTCGGGTCTTGACACCCTTGAGCTTTGCAGGGGGACACTTCTGAAATCTTTCTGTGAAATGTGTGGTTTGGAGAAAGGAGGGTGCTTTTCGGCGTGCCCAGCTCAGGCAGGAAGCGGAGCCGCTGTCCTCCGATCCCCTGCAAGGATCATCCTTCCTGGGTTCTTTCCAAAAGAGAAGATGTCAGTGGTCACCAGCTGTGCTCAGAGGTATGAGCAGGCACCTGGCCGCAGCTCCACCTGTACATTTAGTTTCAGGAATAGGATGAGCCCTGTCTAGGGTCAGGACTTTGATGTGTACCTTCCCTTCCTTCCTCCCTCCCTTCCTTCCTTCTTTCTTTCCTTCCTCCAAGGCAATTTTTTCCCCTCCCTCTCCTCAGCTGGTCTTAATCCTAACTTGGACGTGGGCTATAGGAACCCAGGAGCACACACAGCAATTGATTTTCCCTCTGATGAGTGTTTCTGCAAAGAGATTTCTGCACAGGTTCAATCAGCTCGGGCAGCACACACACACACACACACGGGCGTATCAAATAACACCGATGCTAAAAGCAGCCTTTGAACTTTCAGAATATTCATCCCAGGGTCAGAGATTAAATTACCCCTTTCAAATAAGCCTTAAGAGCTCAACGCAGTTCTTCCTACAAAAGCTTTCTTTGGATGAGGCTCTTTAAAAGAAAGAAAATTCAGGGCTCTTTAGGGGCCGCCAGTTTTTATGTGCCGGAGCAGAGCAGCATTTGCACTGCATGTGTTTTCACCTGGGTTTGTTAGTTATTTCTCACATACAATGTGCAAAAACAGCGGAGCTGCCCCACGCAGGACATGGAGCACTTCAGCACAGGAGCTGCTGTCCCCGGAGCAGCCCCGTCCCGCAGCCCAACGAGGGCACTTGTCACTTCCCAGCCGTTCCCAGCTCTCCAAATTGCCTCGCCACCAGCCCCTGGGAGAGTTTAGTGGAATTTCTTCCAGGTTGTACATTATTTAAGGGGGTGGGAGGGTGGGAGTGGGATGGGGACTGAATGCTGATACCACAGATGGTTCTGGTGTGGATTTAGGTTCGTTCGTGTTTTTAAAGGGAGCGCTGAAACCACGAGGCAGCTCTGACTTTCTGCCATTTGATAGCAAGTTGATCAACTGCATTTACCTATTATTGGTTGTGGTGTGGGGAGATTCCTTTTTTCTTCTTATTAAATTAAGGCATTTTTTTAAGAAATATTTTATTTTTGATACAGACACAGCCGGTGAAGTAGCAGTAAAAAACATCACCACAAAGAGGCACATGGCTTTGAAATGTTTTGGTATGTAACATGACGGTATTGTTATCAGGTCTTAACTTTTGCACAAAGACTGTTTCTCCTTGTTCTAAAAGCAAACCCTCTGTCAGCTATCAAAGGGTTACGTACATAGCGTGGTTGTAGGGGAACAAAACAAAAAAATATCTCAGTGTCTCAAATCATTTCACAAATAGCAGTGTTCTATTTCTCTCCTTAAACGAACAAGAGTTTCTTTGATTTTTTTTTTTTTTTAAGTCAAATTTAGGATTCTGCTGTTCAGAGCAGAGAGGTCACAAGGCCCTAATGTATTTAGCATTGACTGCCCTCTCTTGTAGTGCGTCTATTAGTCAGTAATTTGATTTGTACCTATTCATTTGCAGTCCCTGCAGGAGCTCTGAGCTGGCCCCAAGTATAATTGGTGCTGTCTCTATTTTTACATCATTAGATTAGCCCCGACTCCTGGCCACTTGTTGTCTGCGCTTGTCTGTCCATTTATACAACCTAATGTAACACAAAATTCATTACTGATCACATTACTTTCAACTCTGAAGCCAGCTTTGTGATAAACATTTTGTTAACCCTTTCTTGCCAGCCCACAGACCTGGGGGATAAATGCACTTTCCCTTTGCAGAAAAATCGATATCATAATAAAACAAAGTGCAGTCACATTTCTAGATTTGTCATTCCTCCTGGAGAAAGAAATGGGGAGAAACATATACGAGATGACTAAATGATGTCTGCATCCAGGCATCTCGCGCTGCTGTATACGAAATGAGCTCAGCGGTGTCCTTTCTACTAGAATATAAAGAAGTGACACAAGATAGGGCCAGCACTCAATTTCAAACTTAATTTCTTGCTCATTGTTCTGCAAGTGTTTCAGCTCTACTGTGCAGGCTGTAATCGGGTTATGACATTATTGGAACTGGACATTTTTCTTCCAGTGCTTTGTCTCAAAGTAGTTAACAGAGAAACAGTTCCCTTTCTCCTTAGAGATTTGTTATTGCTTTGGGTTCTGTTTTGGTTTGCTTTGTGGTTTTTCCTCCTAATGATTAAGCAAATTAATTTTCCTACTGCAATACTCCAGTATTTCACAGGAAAATGTAAAGCTCCATTCTGTCTTGCTTGGCTTTGCTCACATTTGACCGTTTCGCTGAGTACCTCCTAAAGCATTAAGCTTTTTGAATGCCTGAGGCTTCTGCTATTGATTTCCAGGGGAACAAGAGGACAGCCGCGGTAAGTATTCGTTTAGGCCTGATTCTGCAAAGGGCTGAGCATCCTTCCAGCTCTGTTTGCAGCATCATGCTCAGGAGGTGATGCTTGCTATTCAAAGGAATATATTTTGGTGCACGCAAAAGCTGTTGATTTTTAACAGTTTTCTCAATTCATTTTCTGTTTGTACAGCTTGGCTTGGAAATCTGTTATTTGGGGTTTTCTAAATATTTAGAAACATTTCTCAGTGTTTATTAAATCTTCCCGTTAAAAGCCTGAGTTCTGAAGCCTGCCCCACACCGAGCGGTCCCGCACTGAGCAGGGTGAGGAGCCCAGGCAGCCATTCCGGATTTTTCCATCTCTAGTTTCAGTAATTACCTCACTGTTCCTTTTAGGAGTCTTTGCATGGTATTTTCATGTAGGATACGACTTATGGCAAGCATATCTTTCTTAGTAAGTACGAGAGCCCTCGTTTCCCAGCATTTGAACCAGGACTGGTATTTTTACAGCTGTTTTGCAAGCCAAAACTTGTTGCAGCTGCTGAGATGGTGGCAGAATAAAGACAAGACAGTTCCTCTCCCTCCTCCCCAGCCCGGCAGCCCCAGAGAGCCTTTTGGTATTTTGCTGATTTTCACAGGAGCAATTTTAGGTGTGTGCAGCCCTGGCTGGCGCTTGCTCCTAAAGCCTGGCTTGGCTGGGAGAAGGCACGAGGCTCCGCTCAGCTCTGCCACTGCCTTTGTGTCCCTCGGTCTGTGTTCCAGCTTTGCCATCCGAGCACTGGGGAGCCCAGCGTGCCCCAAAATGACACAGTGACTCCTGTGACCCTCATGGTAAGGACAAGCCACAGCTCGTGTCACAGTGCCACGTGCTCGGTGGCAGAAGGCATGTGGCCAGCCGGACACGTGCCACCACCCCAGGGTGCTGCTGTTGGGGTTTGTGGGGCTGGCACGCTGCTCCCATCACTGCTTGCCCTATAGCGCAGATCCCCTGCGCATCTTCCATTAACTCTGAAAGTTGGAGCCTTTTGTTATCCTAAAACAACGTGCGGCCAACTTCCCGGCTCCCCTCCCTGCCCATGCAGAGCATCACCATCACGCTGGTGCCAAGGGCATCTCCCGATCCCTGGGTTGCAAAAGGATGATGGCCCAAGTCATGGCACAGCTCTCATCAACCATGCATCATCCTCACCGGGGGAGAGGAGGCTGTAGCATGGAAACCCATTTATGCAATAAATTGTTAAGCAGTGGAACTGTTAAATTAACACTTATTAGAGCTATGCTGAAGCCTGAGTCACCAAGCAGCAAAACAGGCATTAACACAGCAAAACCCTAGCAGTTGATGGAAACTCAAAAGCTAAAACAATTAAAATGTTCCAGCATGAGCCAACCCTCTGGCCCTGCAGCTTTCAGTCCTCTGGGCCGCTGAGGCCCCTCTTCCACCGCTTCGGCGTCAGGAGGCACAAGTCCTTGGATGGACTCCCAAAGTGCCACCTTCGCCAGCTCCCACCCCTTTGGTCCTACATTGTTTCTTGTCATCATACTGCCGTCTGCAGCCCTGCCAGCACCTCTTGTCACCCCCGTGCGTTTCTCTAACAGAATATCAGGTGAGTAATAACCTCTTTTTTCTGATAATCTGGCCTTGCTGTCCACGGTGGAGTCTAAGAGTACCAGAGCTTGGGGCTGTGTCCTTGCGTGACGGTGACGTTGTTGGCTCTCTGGTGCTGGTACTGGAGATGGTCGGGCAGAAAGCGGGACAGGGGAGAGAGGCCAAGGGGAAAGGAGAGAAAAACCCCAGGGGGGTTTTGGCTTGGGGGAGGATGTCCCCGATGGGTGGGGCAGGGGCACATCCCATGGGACCTGGTCCAGTGGCAGCCCCAGGAGGAAGCAGCGTGTGGCCAGGTCCCGGGCGATGCTGGGAACAGTCGGTTCTCCTGGAGGGTACATATCGTGATTTGTGGTATGAAAAGATTAGCTTTCCTTCCATTCCTAGCCTGCTGTCTCCCCACCATGGATAATACATAAAACAGTAGACTTTTATTCATTAACATTTATGGGAAAATGTTAATATTAAACTGTAAGTGAAAAGCCCTATCTTATTGAATTCTTCTGCTGTGTTATTGGGAGCCTAATTACATTTTGCATTTAAATAAAAACCAGATGACGTTCAGGACGGTCAGGCGAGCATTCTCTAAGTGAGAATTTATCTTGCGATCTGGGTAAACAATGTCTCATCATTTAACAGTTATTATAAATAATGGGTTTTTAAGCACTTTGCTGGGAGTTCATATTGGCTCCACGCGGGTTGCACTAAGGGAGAGAGAATCTCAGTGACATCTTCCAGGCATCCGGCGAGGAGGAATCATATCCTGAGCTCACTTCTCAAGCTGCAGCCGTTTTCATCCTCCTCTGTTTATTATTGCTCAATATTGTGTGCACAATCGGCTGGCAAAAAAAAAAAAAAAAAAAAAGGAGTAAGGGATTGGCTGGAGGCATTTTTCAGATGGAGAAACCATCCCTGCTGCTGCCCCTGCAGAGGTGGAAGGTGCTCAGGACCCTGCCGAGGTTCTTGCAAGCAGTTGAAACCTCCAAAGGCACGTTTTTCCTGTAAAAATGGTGCTGTGTAAGGGTTGTGTATTCACAAAGAATGAAAAAGATGTTGAGGCAAAACGTAAAGATGGGAAGGTAATAGAACTGGCTGCTTTTTTCTGTCTTTCTGCTGGTGCCCTCTTAAATTATGTCAGTGGGAATTACCTGCTTGGTCATGCGTGAGCTAATTTAGAAAAAGAGTAAAACTTCTAAAAAATGGAAATAGATTTTTCCCCACTTGTGTTGTTTACGTTTTGCGTTTCATCCCTGTCGCTTCAGCCCAGGCGGCGGTGCTTTTGTTGCTGGCTGGCTTTTAGTCCGTGCTCCGTGTTCCTCGGACGTGAGCGAGAGCCTCTGAGATCTCTCCCAGGCATTTCCCGGCACGGGCAGGGAGCAGCGTCCCCGCAGCCTGTCCACATCCCACTAAGGAAGGAATTAGTTTTCCATGCAGACAGAAATAGGTGGTAAGGGGATGAATTTTTTAGGTAACCATTTGCTCTTGTGAAAAGACAGAATTTGGGAGTGCCTGACGCTGGCTGGTGGCGTGTCACCTCCTGGCACGCCGTGAAGCCACCCACCCTGTACAGTGGCTGTTCCGGGACATAAACTGTTTACTCTCTTTTTCTACAAGAGGCATTTTTATCCCGTTTTCCAAGAAGACCCCCGCAGCTAAAATACCATCCTTTTTTATTTATTTATTTTTGGTATTTATTTATTATTTCCTTGGTCAGTGACTTTCTCAGTATCTGCCCAACACATGAACTCTGTGTTTACATCCAAAGCTGATGGTGTTGAGAAAGACAAAGGTTCTGCATCACTTCTCCAACTGTTTCCAAAGATGTTTTTCTGGGAAGGGCGCTGTCCTGATCCCCCTGCTCTGGCTGGGTGGCACAGCGTGGGGGTGAGGAGCCGGGGGTGGCTGGGGACAGTGGGCACATGGGTGAGATGAGCAGGATGGAGATGGTGGCAGGATGGAGATGAGCAGGATGGAGATGGTGGCAGGTCCCTACCCAGACACAGATGGCACCGTGCTGGGGACCCAGGGATGCTCAGGTGCGTTGCTGGTCTGATTTTCTCCTTAGGCAGAGCGCAGCATTCCCATGGATGGCATCTCCCTTCTGTTCCCAAGTTCACCACGCACATGCCTCGCTGAGCAACTGTTCCCATCGCTGAGGCCGCGTTGTCAGGTGAAAATGATGTTTGGAGGCGTTAATCAAAAGACTGATTAAC